TTTCTCTATATTAGTACCAACATTAGATATAACTTTCTCTATATTGGTCCAATATTAGATATATCTTTCTCTATATTGGTACCAACATTAGACATATCTTTCTCTATATTGGTACCAACATTAGACATATCTTTCTCTATATTGGTACCAACATTAGACATATCTTTCTCTATATTGGTACCAACATTAGACATATCTTTCTCTATATTGGTACCAACATTAGACATATCTTTCTCTATATTGGTACCAACATTAGACATATCTTTCTCTATATTGGTACCAACATTAGACATATCTTTCTCTATATTGGTACAAACATTAGACATATCTTTCTTTATATTGGTATTAACATTAAAGGGATACTTAGGCAAATATATGACAAAATATTAAATTTTCAATATTTACTTAACTTACGCTAAAATGAAGTTTTTTTAAGTGATTAAAAGTCCCAGGATTTTTTTTCTTATAATACTGTATAATGTGAGTTTAAAAAGTAAATAAGTCTACATTTTATTGAACGAAATGACGACGCAGACAGAACTAAAACCAGTAGTTTTAAAACAAGTCATTTGACAATTACAATCTCTAGAAGTTAAAAAAAAATATTGTGGATATTGTAAGATTAAAACAAGCCTAAGTCGCTCATTTGACAGGTTCTTTTACGCTTTTATAGTTCACTGTGATAACTATGTCAAATGTAAATGCTCTAACCTGACCGCGTGGGTCAGGTTAGGAAACAATTTTTTTTCTTTTTAATTGAGAAAAATTTTGTTCCCTAGACTGCTTAAGAGATTATTTTTTCGATGACATTTATAGAATATTGGATAGAAAATTAAAATCTAAAATATGAAAATTTTGCCTGGTTTTCCCCTTTAACATTCAGTTGGGGTTTTTAGTCTTTGGGCAAAAATCATTTTTCCAACAAATTTTAAGGTAAACGACTTACATTAGAACAATTTTATAACTTTGGAGGTTTTTAATAATAAAGTCATTATACATGATATAAAATCACGTCTAAAAAGATTTTGAAAATTTATCTAAAAAATTTTCCAAAAATTTTTTTTAGATTTTCTTTTTTAAAGGAAAACAATTTTAATTTTATTAATAAGAGAAAAATTATTTTGGTTTTTTAAGTTTTAAAAATGTTTTATAAACAAAACAATTTATTTTTTTTAAAAAATTTATCTTTAATAAAGACAAAAAATTTCCCTTTTTCCCTACTTACGCCTTTTACTACCTTTTTTTCCCCTTTTTTCCCAATTTACATTTCTTTGCACTAAAAGTTCCCAGTGAAACTTTCAATCTACTGTGATGGTAGTGTTTCAGAGAAAGCTGGCGAGTCATAGGCATCTCTCAAGTATCTCCACAAGTGCTTCATGTTTCTAGGAATCTCATAGTCCTTGAAATACTGAAATATGACAAATAAATACGATACTAGCAATTCACATTTACAGTAGCATCAAAGACATTTGTAAGCTATCTTATGGCACTGCATATATATATATATATATATTAACTTTGAGGTAAGCCCCTGCAAACATCATATACACATATATAGTAGAACTATAAGAGCTCTTGTTTGACATTACTCCCCAGACCAAATAGAGATTTTTATGCCTAATGTTCTTATCTGTAAAAAACCTATGTTAGATATATCATACAAAACATGTTGATCAGGCATTCATTTAAAAGCTCTAACAACCTGCTCAAAACTCATATAATTTTTATGACTTCATCCAACTATTTTTATTTGTATTATAGTCAGATGATTAACTAAAAGCTGTCTGTAAGACAGTGTGCTTGATTATTATCTGTGCTCTACAGTAAGAAAAGGGGAGCAACTTTGTAAAAGGTAATCAGATTATGGACATTGCCCATCTGGTTTCCAGCAAGTATAAAACATTGGATAGGTACTTTTTTGATTCCCATTTCGACATGAGCAAAATTTTTGTTTCTGTTAGTATCAAATTTAAACGAGGTTTTAAATTACAGGTCTTAAATTATACTAAACAAAATAAAATCATAAAAAATATCATTAAAGAGGGTTTTCAAAAAAAGAGGGGTATGCCTGGACGCTCACCTAACAACCCCCTCCCAAGCAAATTTTTAAAAAAATCATGACCCCAAATTTTATCGACTAGCAAAAATTGACCTCTAGGTTTTAAAATTTTTCCCTATTTGGCAATGTGACCAATTTTTTCTGGACAACCCATATTCAAAAATTTTACCCAGAAATCATCAAAAACCTTCTGACCAATTTCCAGGAAATTTGGATCAAAAACTGCAGCCACTAGAGTGTTAAAAAGATTTTTCTATTTTTAGTCCTGTGACCTAGTTTTTGACCGGACATGGAACCCATTCTTTCCCAACCCTTGACCTAGATATCATCAAAAACAATTTTTCCCCCATGACAAAATTACCAGAATATTTGGGAATGAGAACTGCAGCCACTAGAGGTTTAACAAGCTTTTTTTCTATTTTTAGCTCTGTGACCTAGTTTTTGACCGGGAACATGAACCCATCTTCCAAACTTACCTAGATATCATTCAAAACAACCTTCCTGACAAATTTTCCCCAGAAAATTTGGATTTAAAAAACTTGCCAGGGCCACTAGAAGTGGTTAACAAACTTTTTTATTTTTTAAAGCTCCTGTTACCTAGTTTTTGACCGGGAGATGACCCATCTTCGAATTACCTAGATTATTATCTAAGCAATTCCTGACAAATTCCAGAATATTTGGATTGAAAACTGCAGCCCACTAGAGTGTTAACAAGCTTTTTCTATTTTTAGCTCCCTGTTGACCCTAGTTTTTGAACCAGACATTGATCCATTTTTTAAACTTGACCTAGTTATTCATCTAAACAACCCTTTCCTGACAAATTTCCAGGAATATTTGGATGAAAACTGCAGCCTATAGATGTTAACAAGCTTTTATCTATTTTTTAGCTCCTGTTGGACCCTAGTTTTTGACCAGACATGCCCATTCTTTCGAACTTGACCTAGATTAAAATCCAAAACAACCTTCCTGACAAATTTCCAAAAATAATTTGGACATGAAAATTTTGCAGCCACTAGAGTGTTAACAAGCCTTTTTCCATTTTTAGCTCCTTTGTGACCTAGTTTTTACCAGACAAATATCCATTTCAAACTTGACCTAGATATCATCTAAAACAAACCCTTCCCAGTGACCAAAATTCCTAGAATATTTGGATTTAAAAAACTGCAAGCCTATTAGAATTTAACAAGCTTTTTCTATTTTTAGCTCCTGTGGACCTAGGTTTTTTGACCGGAGATGACCCATCTTTGAATTGACCTTTAGAAACCATCAAAACAACTTTTCCTGACAAAATTTCCAGAATATTTGGATGAAAACTTTGTGGCCACTTAGAGTGGTTTTAACAAGCTTTTTCTATTTTTTAGCTCCTGTGGACCTAGTTTTTGACCGGAGATGGACCCATCTTCCGAACTTGACCTAGATATCATCAAAACAACCTTCCTGACAAATTTCCAAAATATTTGGATGAAAACTGCAGCCAAACTAGAGTGTTAACAAGCTTTTTCTATTTTTAGCTCCTGTGGACCTAGGTTTATTTGACCAGAGAGATGGACCCATACTTTCGAACTTGGAGCCATCCTAGCTATCATTAAAACAACCTTCCCCTGACAAATTTTTGTCCAGAATATTTTGTAAAATGAAAACTGCAGCCTCTAGAGTGTTAACAAGCTTTTTTCTATTTTTTAGCTTCCTGTGACCTAAGTTTTTGACCAGACATGACCCATCTTTCGAACTCGATCTGTATTTCATTGAGACAAAACATTCTGACAAATAGTTTTGATGATGATCCAATCAAAACTGTGACTGCTAGACTGTTAAACAACCCAATTATTAGAGTGTTAACAAGCTTTTTCTAATTTTTAGCTCGTGACCTAGTTTTTGACCAGAAGATGACCCATCTTTTCGAACTTGACCTAGATATCATCAAAAACAACCTTCCTGACAAATTTCCCAGAATATTTTTGGATGAAAAACTTGCAAGCCTCCTAGCAGTTGTTAACCCAAGCTTTTCTATTTTTTAAGCTCCTGTGACCTAGGTTTTTGACCCGCAGATAACCCATCTTCGAACTCGATCTGTATTTTCATTGAGACAAACATTCTGACAAAGTTTTGATGATGATCCAATCAAAAACTGTGACTGCTAGACTGCTTAACAACCAATTGTTAGAGTGTTAACAAGCTTTTTCTATTTTTGCTCGTGACCTAGTTTTTGACCAGAGATGACCCATCTTCGAACTTGACCTAGATATCATCAAAAACAAACCTTCCTGACAAATTTCCAGAATATTTGGATGAAAAACTGCAGCCTCTAGAGTGTTAACAAGCTTTTTCTATTTTAGTCCTGTGACCAGTTTTTGACCCGAGATAACCCATCTTCGAAACTCGATCTTATATTCATTGAGACAAACATTCTGACAAAAGTTTGATGATGATCCAATCAAAACTGTGACTGTAGACTGTTAACAACCCAATTGTTGACGACGAACGACGCACAACGCACGACGCACAACGCACGACGACGGACGCCGGACATAGCCCCATCACTATACCTCACCATGACCACTTCGTGGTCAGGTGAGCTAAAAAGCCATCCAAGGAATTTCATTTTAGTATTTCAATTATCTAATTTCATAACATAAATATATATTTCTTTCCCCTGAAAAAAAACTGTTAGCAAAAAGCTAACACTGACAGGAATGTAGACATGATGAAATTGTTAATGTCATTTTTAGTTTTTGAAAATAACATCTAAATCCCCTTACATCTAATAAACGCTACAAAACTATAGATTAAATCTGAATTAAGTTTTCTTGCTGTATTGTACTTATATATAGAAATCTATATCAAATTTTTTTTCTCTTTTTTTTATCACTATCAGTCACAAGTAGACAATACAGGTATGACAGCTGATTATGTCTGTATTGCCCTTGAGGTACAAAAATGATGACCTTCAATTTATCTTACAGACATGCTGTTTATGACTGACTGTATTAAATTTATTACTTATACTGGCAACATATGGAGTTTCTAGCCTTGCAGATATAAAACCAATTTCTGTCCATTATAAATCACAGCAAATATGCTACCTTTCGTATATGATTAAATATTACAATATCTACGGTTGTACTGTGTTAACACATTTACAATTCCAGAGAGTCATGCGAAACCATGTCACATACATACTCCACTTTATGATGCGTAAATAATGAATCACTTAAACTAAATGTAAAACATCTCAATGTTACGGAATTTCTATTTTTAGTAACAAGTTTAAAACCACTTCTGCTTGAGACATTGTAACATTGAAAATATCAACACTTGTAAATAATCAAAAGTAGTAAATAAATTTTTGTCATGTATTACATCTAAAGAAACAAGATAGGGGCTTATTCCTTACTACATACTAATTTGCATTTAACTTGAATAATGATGAAGTTGACTTCAAATACACTTGTATATAAATGAATTAACTTAAATATTTAATTCAAATCCTGCTGAATATGTAGTGAGTGATGTTTTTTAATTCAATTCAAATTTTTGTGAATTTAACTTTCTTAAAATTGTTTACAGAATCATGGCAACATTTTAAAGCTCAACTTCATAGTATATTTTCATTTTAATAAGCAAGGTCTACACATGCATTAAATATCAACCCAGCATGTTGATATGACATCAAGGGTCTAGATTAAACAAGATAAACTGAAATGTAACAGTTGTTGTATATTTCAAGGAAATGTAATATTGCTTGGCTATCTAATCTGTAACTGTACACCAGTATAATGGTTGGTATATTCAACAAGTTGGTATCAGTTTATAAGTATGCATGTACTTTATGATACAAAAACAGTAACAGCAGTGGAGACATCATTTACTTTTGTACTGTAGAAAAATCATTACAGCCTTGGTCATTTATCATCAAAATTTATATAATATAATGTGACAAGAAGTTTTATCATATTCTATGGTTATATCAGGGCTGCCAACAGCAAATTGCAAAATCAGAGGAAAATACGCCGGGGGTCAAGGGGGTTGCGTAAGTCCCCTTTGCGAGTCCAGGGCAGAGCCCTGGTGGGGGCCCAGGGGGCGAAGCCCCCAGAAGCTCCTGGATTCTGATGATTTGGTATGCCCTAAAATCAATTTCCTGGACTCTAAATTTGACTTCCTTCTCCAACATTTTGACGCATTTTGACAACAGACAAGAGTTACAATGTAAACTGTTATTTGATTGGTTATTCTAAAATAGAATGCCGGAAAATACTCGATTTGACCAATGAGAAAAACACTTACAGACGTACCATAGGCCGCTAGCTTAACGATAAAAGCCGAAGCGTGCCGGTTTTTGGGTACTGTATACAATATGACGAATGAATTTATTGTCTTTGTCGAATTTACATCAATCTCAAAAATGACCCAGGAGCTCACTAAATCCATATATTTCCGCGAATTCGCGGAAAATCGGCAGCCCTGTTATATAAAATCTTCTTGATTTAGTTAATTTATACTTCGATTGGTCTATCAACAAATAATTTCAGAGCTTGGAACAATTAATCATTTAACAGCTTGGGACAATTTATCATCTGCAAGTCTGAGAGTATACTCAGTTTTCAACCTTTGATAAGTGACCATCAACTTTGATCCTAAAGACATTAAAATTTGTGAAGTTTGTAGCAGTGACAGAATTTATTGATAAGCAAAAATTTGTTAATTTACAGTAAGTTTTTTTTTTTGTTTTACATAGCACCAACACATTAGATGTCACATGACAACTTACACTAATGTATTATTTTCTCAAACCCGTGCTAAAGCAGAGTGTAGGAAAATAGCATGTAACTACGACATAAAAGACAGTCATGAGTGTAGTTTCACACATAAAACGTTTAAAATCAAATGTTACCCAGGCACAAATTTTAGTTAGGTTTTACAGCGCACCGACACAGTAGGTAGGTCATATGGTGCCGAAACAGCAAAGATGATTTCAGCAAAACCTTGGGACCTTGGTATTGCAAACTTTAAAGCAACACCGTGGGTCAAAACCACCTCACCTCGGGAGCTAAGAGATGCACAGACCCCCGTGATTGGAGCCCATTTATACACCTTACGATCACTCAGAGATAAATGTTGGCTGCAATTATGCCTCAACTATTAAAGGAACCCCATAGCCACAAGGGGCAACAATTTTAGGATAGCATTTTTTTCTTTTGAATAGTAAATAAAAAAATAATTTGACTGCATTTAAAACTTATCCTTATTCACATGACCATTTTTTTCTTATTTTCCTTTTCTATTCTGCCAAAATGGCCACAACATTTCAAATTTGAAAAACACGCTACTTTAAGCCAAAAGTGATGACAAAGTCAAGCTCAGCAAAACGACTCCACAAAATCATTTCAACTGTAACAAATGAATCATATTGAAACTTCATTCTGTTTGATTTTTTCATTTGAACTAGCACTATAAAATAATATAGGAAATCAGGATTTCCAGAAATTATGAAAAATAACTTACAAACATTTATCTTGTGTACTAGTATTCAAACCAGACATCTTTACTGTGAGTGTCTTGAACAAAAACAAGGAATAAGGAGAAGGTAGTTTGTAAAACATATCTTACCTTTCCTGCTACAATGATGTGTTGTAACCTTGGCAACAAGAAGCAGTCTGTATATGACAAGCTTTCTCCTTCAAGGAAAGTAGTTCCACTGCTTGCTAGGTGATCGTCTATTTTTTGTAAAATATTTGTGACTACATTCTCCGACTTTACTCCTTTCATGAATGCATTGAATTGCTGAAATACAAGTTATATGAAAGTACAGCGAGCTTAATGAAGCTACATGAGTAGATGTGAAAGAACAAGATTGCATTTGAGAAAAATGCTATGCCACCGCATTAATACAACACTAAATAGTAGTGTAGGAACAGATATTTTTTGTTTCTATACAATTGAAGATTGCCATAATGCATAGATCCCTGACCTATCTAATTCTTATCAACAGATTAGTGGTTGAATCTATTGTTAATCCAACAAAAGATCAGAGTAGGAATATATCAATGCACTTGAGTCTTGTTAATTTGGTGGTGAAGGTCATATTTCTCACAGCCTAAATTTCATGACTATATCAAAGGACAACACAGTAAGACACTTTGTTAAAATCTAAGTCAGCTGATATCAAAGTTCACTTTACATCTTAATCTGTGCACATGGTTTCATAGCTGTACATCAAAGGACAAGAAAGTAGGTCATATCATCAAAATCTAGATCACGTGATCTCAAAGTTCAATTTTACAACTTAAACTGTGCACATGGTCAAAATTTCATTGCTGTACATCAAAGGATAAGAAAGTAGGTCACTTTCCCCTTGGGCAAGGCAAAATTTTGACCCAAGGGTTTTATTCAAAACAATCTTGATACAGGTCCACCAAACAACATTTCAAGTCAAATATCTAAGCTGTAGCTTTCTCCCATTCAGAAAACATTTGTTTTATTTTCTGTTTTTTACTTTGTGTTCATAATGAGAATCACTGCCCTGGGCAGGGCCAATTTTGGCACCAAGGGAAAAATTTGAACAACTTTGGTAGAGGACCTATAGATGATATTATATAGCAAACATCAAAGCTCTATGCCTTGTACCTTCAGACAAAAATATTTTTTTTTTTTACTATATGTACATAATGAAAATCAATGACCCCCCGGGTGGAACCAATTTTGACCCAAGGGCTATAATTTGAACAATCTTGGTAGAAGTTCACTTCGCAAAGTCTCATGCCATATATTTAACCTCTAGCCTTTGTCAATTCAGAGAAGAAATTTTTCAAGTTTTAACTTTATTTTTTTGTTTGTTTTGGGTTTTACGTCACATCAACACAGTATAGGTCATATCGCGACGTTCCAGCTTTACTGGTGGAGGAAGACCTCAGGTGCCCCTCCGTGCATTATTTCAGGCACGAACGGGCACCTGAGTAGAACCACCAACGTCCCGTAAGCTAGCTGGATAGCTTCCTCACATGAAAGAATCCAAAGTCCCTGTCGGGATTCGAACCCACAGCGGTGAGGGGCAAGTGGTTTGAAGTCAACAACCTTAACCACTCGGCCACGGACGCCCAACATTTTAACTTTTTACATATAAGGAAAACTATCGCCTCTGGGGCAGGGTAATTTTAACTCTAGGGGCATACTTAAAACAACTTTAGTAGAGGACCCATGATATTACATACCCAATATAAAATCTCTTAAGCCTTAAAGTACCTTCAGACAAAACGGTTTTTTTTACTATATGTACATAGTGAAAATCAATGACCCCTAGGGGTGGGGCCAATTTTGACCCCAGGGCTATAATTTGTACAATCTTGCTAGAGGTTCACTACACAATGTTTCATGCAAAATATCTTAACTCCAGCCTTAATAAATTTAGAGAAGATGATTTTTTAATTTTTTACTATATACATATAAGGAAAACCTATGGCCCCAGGGTCGGGGCTAATTTTGACACTAGAGGCAAAATTTGAACAACTTTGGTAGAGTACCTATAGATGATATTATTTAACAAGTATTAAAGCTCTAAGCCTTGTACCTTCAGACAATAAGATTTTTTACTATATGTATATATTGAAAATCAATGACCCCCGGGGCGGGGCCGATTTTGACCCCAGGGTTATTATTTGAACAATCTTGCTAGAGGTTCACTACACAATGTTTCATGCAAAATATCTAACCTCTAGCATTTGTCAATTGCTAGAATTTTTTTAAAGTTTTTACTATAAGTTTTACTTTATACATATAAGGAAAACCAATGACCCCCGGGGCGGGCCCGATTTTGACCCCAGGGCTATAATTTGAACAATCTGGGTAGAAGTCTACCAGACAATGCCTTATGCAAAATATCTAACCTCTAGGCCTTTGGGTCTTTACAAGAAGGTATTTTAAGTTTTTACTATATGTACATATAGTGAAAACCAATGACCCCCGGGGCGGGGCTGATTTTGACCCAAGGGCTATCATTTGAACAATCTTGGTAAGGGTCTACCAGACAATGCCTTATGCAAAATATCAAAGCTCTAGGCCTTTTGTGTCTTTACAAGAGGGTATTTTACGTTTTTACTATATGTCATATAGTGAAAATCAATGACCCCCGGGGTGGGGCCGATTTTGACCCCAGGGCTATAATTTGAACAATCTTGGTAGATGTCTACCAGACAATGATTTATGCAAAATATCTAAGCTCTAGGCCTTTTGGGTCTTTACAAGAAGATTTTTTAAATTTATTCTTATAATTCCTTTTGGTTGCCATGGCAACCAGATTTCTGCATGGAATGAAATTCTTTGAACAACTTTGGAAGCCCTTCACACAAGGATCAATTCTGCCAAGTTTGATTGAAATTGGACCAGTGGTTTTTCACAAGAAGATTTTTGAAGTTCACTATATAATCTATATAACACACACACACACAAACAAACAAACAAACACACACACACACGCACACACACACAGGTGAATCGCTATATGCCACCGCATCGCAGATGCTGCGGTGGCATAAAAATGTATTTTAAGTCATTGTAAGATATTATAATTAAAATGATGGAATTTTTCTATATACAATCATGATTACTCAAGTTATTTCAAATAATAAAAGACAAATAATACAAAAGGTAAACAGGTCATTCTGTCTAAATATTACTCAGTAACTGTAAAATACATTACATACTGTTGAAATGCTGTCCACTTTGCCAAGGATGTGATCTTTTGTATTTTTGGGTCGTTTCAGATGTGGGCAGTCTGAATTTACTGAATCAAAGAATTTTTCTACATCATCTGTTGATTCTGGCATATATCCTTCGATTGAGCGCCCAGTAATGTCTTTGCCACTTACACCTTCAATAAATGGGTAGATCTTTGCTCTGTTTTTTTCTTTAAAGTCTATTGGTGGATTCACTTGACTAACTGTCCATACTTTAAAGTCAACATTTTTCTCTTGAGCTAATATATATGACAACATAAACCCTTGCTGGCTCATAGGACAAGCACCTTGCGTCTCATTGTCAATTAATGAGGCCTGAAATACAAATAAAATTTACAATATCAATATTTGTATGTACTCCTTATGAATAAGAATATTTAACAAAATTTACAAACCTTAAGTTTTTTTAAAGACAACAAGAAATATGGCAATGCCACAAAACATGGTTTTAAACAAGACATGAGAGCCAATCCAAGAGGGAGCTACTCTTCTAACCAAAGATGCTTTATTAGGTGAAGGTCATTCAAAGTTCAAGGTCAGTAATGTTGTTTTGTCCATACTGAAAATAATTCACAAAGTTATTGTAAATTTGTTTCATAATTAATCATCATTAAAAAATATATAATGTTGCACAGTTATATTCAAAATGGACTGCTTTCCCCATTTCAAATGGTCCCAAATTCCTCACCATGATGCGATTTCCCCTCTCAATGTTCCTTGCCACCATTCCCCTATGACAGAACAAAATCACTACTGGAATCGAAGATGATAATAAACATACAGGGAAACCAACTGCTTTATTTTCAATATTTTCCCTCTTTTAAGGCAAAAAACTTATAAATGACCTATTATATCATTGACATCCTGAACAAAAGAAGAAACTTCCGTCGTGTTTCAATGCAGATATAATATGAAATATGGAAAGAAGGGTTTAACTATTTTCACTTGCATTCCATGAGTATTACAACATGAATTTGTGTGTACAATCTTAAGTTAATGCTCAGCATTTACAGAAAACTAATAAAATTGATTATCAAATATGGTAGGGATCATAGAACAAATCAAACATTTATACTGGGCATGGCCACCTTGAGCATGAAATGACCGGCATTATTGCGATATAGAACTGACAGGTGTGTTAATTTCTACCTATAGATAGAATGTTGTTCTACTCCTTAACACAGGAATAGGGCAATGTTCAAAAAAAAGCTTTTCCAAATTATCCCAAAATTGTTTGATGGGATTAGATTTAGACTTCTGGCAAGCCAATGAATGCAATATTATTTGTCCTGAATTATTTGCTGAATGGCTTGTGGAATTATTCTGTTGAAACATTTTTTCATCAACCAGTATTGGTGATTGTGTGCCCAATTAACCAAATAAGTCTTGGTTGTTACATGTACCAGGGATGTTAGTAGCAGTGACAGTTTGAAAATGATTGTGTGTGTGTTATGATATAGCAGTCTTGACCAGGCATTGTGACAATGCAATGTTCACCATCTGGTAAATCTTCTGTATGCCCTGTTGCTTGGAAATTAAATAGAGTGGCTGTAACTACCAACAACCTAGCAACAGATTCTTTACAATACCAGCATTTAGTGTTCCAATAATATTAAACATAAATTTGGTTAACATAAAAAAGAAACTAAAATACCTTGAGAAGAACTGTTTTTCAACAGTTTTTCCTAAATTTATTATTGACAAGAGTTTTTAAAAGCAGACTGATAGGCACAGATTTTAATTGTCTGTAAAAATCAAGTTTAACGTTGATGTTGTTGTGTAATACATAAAATAACATTTCGTTTATTTTACACATATTTGCTCGTCTGAAAAATGTAAAGCATTGAACATGTTGATTTCTTTGCATCGCAATATCCCCTTTGCGGTGTGTTGAATCGCTTTGAGAAGACAGGTCAAAAACAGAAACGGGTGACCTAGACTAGTTTAGGCATTACATGGCCATAACCCCCGCCCGCCTCCCCCCCCCCCCCAAAAAAATTTGGCCCCCCCCGGGGAAACCAGTTTTCCCCCCCCCGGAAAAAAAAAATAAGGGGTTTGTCTGTCCTGAAGGTGTCCCGGAAGAAACCGATTTATGTCCCGGTAAAAAAAAATCTAAAATAATCTACTTTGAAGCAAGAAATTTTACATTTTTATATAATTTTATTGTCAAGTTTTTTATAAACTAGTCTAGAACGCTAATAATGAACTATTATCCCATAACAGCATTGCAATGGTGACACTAATCCTTTGATTGGTATATCTACATGCCCCTTCCAACAAACAATTATTGGCATTAATTTTGATCAATTAAAAGATTAAATGTTTACCCCATGTGGCTTCCTGAGCGAAGGTGTCATACACTGTAATTTAATAGTAATTAACAACTGGCCAGAATAAATTTAATCCGTCTGAAGGCAGTTATTGGTGGTCAAACACCGTGAAAATTACAGGCTAAGTTTGAGGCGATAAAATCTACAAGATTCCGTGAATGTTTCAGGTAAACGAATGGCTAATTGTCATTACTTAACATAGCTTTATTCTATTCTGTGACTGATTAAATTAATGATGCCTAAATACTTAAAAAAGATAGAAAAACTGTTAACAATGATTGACACTCTGTCTTTTGTTTATGGTGTCATTAAATTTGCAAGTTGTATTAAAATACCGGTAATATAGATTGTAGATTGCTGCTTCCTGGAAGAGGTGCCTTGTCTTCCTTTGTTCTGCGATATGAAGAATTTTGTCCTGGGGAGATCTCTATGAACAAAGACGGCTTGAGAAGACCTCTGTTGTGGGTCTGCGATCAGCAATGTATTGAGGCAATTAAACTAAGTCCTACGGAGCTCTACAAGCAGCGACACAACAGAGGCTGATTAAATTATATCAGTCTGGTAGGGGCGGTCTAGTAAATAATTTTAACAACCAAGAGTTAATTGCCAAATTGTTCTGTGATATGTGAAATTTTGTCCTGGGGAGATCTCTATGAACAAAGACGGCTTGAGAAGACCTCTGTTGTGGGTCTGCGATCAACCATGTATTGAGGCAATTAAATGAAGTCCTACGGAGAAGTCCTAATTATAAGACCTATACGTAACCTATTTCATATTTATCATTCATTAATCTGATATTTTACATTTTTTATTTTCCATGTTACGTTAGGTCTTAACAGATCTTTGCAAAATCGTGTAGCAAAAAAATTGACATTAGACATCGATTTAGATCTAATGCATTTTAACAATTAAAACAGCGTGTATTTACATAAATTTTGAACTATTTATGAACAAAACTAAAAATTAAATACCTTTCAACAAAATAATTGAACTGTCACACCCGAAAAGTCATGATTAAATCCTCTCATTTAATTAAATTCCATGTACAGCAGATATACAAATGGCCGCCATACAGTGCGCGAAATCTGATTGGCTAATTCAAATGCAAGCGTTTAAATGACACCAGAAGTTTCTTACGGAATATTTTTTCAACGAAATAATTGCCCATGCACCGTCAGTGTGTTCGAAAATATTTTTCCGTTCAAAAAATTGGAATCAATCTGTAAAACGCTTTACTTAACCAGTATGGCCGATGAGCGAAATAGATTGATATTTACATTTTATTTTTAATTCATAAGTACATTGTTTGAAACTTTTTGTTACTGATAGACCATGCAATTGAAAGAACAGAAGATAAGCTTTTGAATAAAGCTTGAAAGGCAAGTCAACAGACATTTTTTTAATTTTTCAAAATGCTACGCGTTTTTGACCAATAACTATTAGACGTCAGGCTTGACCAACATAAAACTATAACAAGCCTGTAACGTCTAATCTATTGGACTACCTACGGAGCAGCTCTACAACCAGCAACACAACAGAGGCTGATTAAATTATATCAGTCTGGTAGGGGCGGTCTAGTAAATAATTTTAACAACCAACAGTTAATTGCAGAATTGGGTCGCTCCCACCAATACTGGTTGATTGAAAAATGGAAAAGTGTTTCTTTTTCCAAATGCTGCTTTACATTTGAATTATTTATAACAATACTTTACATGCATTTTATGTCTACATAATATACTGACTAACCTGTTAACATTCTGATCTATAAGGTGACCTGTCCTAGCAAATTAAACAGTGATCAGTCTCAGACAAATGCAATTTAATATTAATAACAAGAAAATGTGAACTCTAATTCATGTGAGTATTTCATGGTGTATTTCTTGCATTCTGGACAGTAGACAATTGATGACACAATTTGATGTCAACAACAATTTTAGTTGACCGACTTAAAATTATGTCTCAAATTATTCCTATCAAAAATTACGGTAACATACCCGAATGTACAGGCAATATTTCGGGGTATCGGATACTTCCTCCTGTTGTTGTGTCCCATTGGCAACATCTGTGCCGTCTTCACTCATCCTGGCAATGTATCTTTAGCACAAAATAATTAAATTAAACTCTGATACTTTGCATCTAAAAGGCCTCGCCCATTAAATTATGGCTGACACGCATGCGCGAAATTGGCGGATTTTGACTTAGTCACGTGATTACATCTAATGTCTCGGTGAACTATTCGAAAATTTCCTCCACCGAACAAAGTTTTCACGTGTGCTGCATTAAAAAAAAAATGTTGTAGATAAACATAAACATTTAATTATGCAGACCATTTAAAGGAACCCCACCGAGGTTTGAAAGCATAGAAATATAATTGAATTTCTTACAAATTTACATCAGCCGGGGACAGTAATATTAAGATATCTAAATTATACTAAAAATAACGCTTTTCAATTAAGGGTCATTTTTCTCTGGAAAACGAAGTAAATTTCTCACACAAGTTATTGGTTTAGCATGGAGCTGAATTAAAAATAAATAGATATGTGGGAACATTAATCCCAAAAATTTATTTCAAAGTCAAGTCAAGTCAATTTTATTTTTAAGTCGGATTCATATAAACAAGATAGCATATTGTTATGAATATATTGCATTACATCAGAAATTAAGTAGTGCCAACCGACCATTTCCCAATTTCAATAGATTTAAACTAAATCAACGGAGGCCTAGATATGTTTCTGTTATTACAAGAAAGTGCCATTTAGTTCTGTGGCGGCGTGCACTTGAAGGCCATGTTTGAATTCTCTCTTCGCGCCCTAAATGCAGACAGTTAGCACAATTGCACAATTCGGTATAAAATATCTCCTTAAAATTGCGCTCGACCCTGTTACTCAATGATTTTCGGCTGTTGTCAAGAAGCATCTTATTAGTTAAGTGAATATGCTATAAACCACATCGAAAAGTGAGACAATTGCAACGAGAAGTGAGAAAATTGCGTACATAATTTTTGATTGTTTCCATGCAATGATGCTCAGGAAAAATACGCCTGTGAAGTAAGTGCACTACGTGAACATTGACCAAACAAAAAATAATTCATCATTGTAGTGTAATTAACTTAGAACTGTTTAGAACTTAGAAATGATGTTTCAACCGAGAAATATGAAAAAGGGTGAAAAAGAAATGAATATCTAATTAAACTATTATACATGTATTAAATTGTCTTACAGTTTGGAAAAGCCCGGGGATACAGGTTGATGTTTTCAGCTCTTGAGATATCATTCAGAGGGTTAAATTATTCCATATTGACATCCTAAAACCAAAATGAGTTCTAACAATACTTGTCGCAGTACGAATCGAGTTCTAACAATGCTTAGCCGTCCAGAATGAGTTCAAACAAATCATGGTCACCCATGAGAAATTCTAACAAAAATTGGTCGTCCAGAACGAATTCCAGCAATTCATGGTCATCCTGAATGAGTTTTAACAATGTTAAGTCGTCTAGGATTCGTTCAAACAATACACGGTCATTCAGTCAATACTTGATCGTCCAAAACGAGTTCTAAGAATACTTGATCTATCTGAATGATTCAAACAACAGAATGTGTTCTAACAATATTCGGCTTTAACAATAGATGGTCGTCCACAACAAGTTTGAAAATACATTATCGTCCAGAACGAGTTGTAGCAATACTTGGTTGTCCAAAATGAATTTAAATATAACATAGTTTTCCAGAATGAGTTCTAACAATACTTGGTCGTCCAGAATGTTTGGACTTCCAGAATGAGTTCTAACAATACTTGGCCGTCAAGAATGAGTTTTATCAAATCTTTGCCGTCCAGAACAAGTTCTAACAATACTAGTCATGGCCGTCCAGAATGACTTCCTACAATATTTGGTGCTCCAGAATGACTTTTTACAATACTTGTTCGTCCACAATGGGTTCTGACAATACTTGGTCGGCTAGAATAAGTTCAAACGATATATGTTCATTCAGCCTGAGTTCAAACTTTACATAGCTGTCCAGATTGAGTTTTTATCACACTTGGCAATCAAGAATGAGTTCTAACAATACTCGGTCGTCCAGAGCGAATTCATACTATACTCAGCCGTTCAGAACGATTTTTAAAAATACTTGGCCGTCTTGAATTATTTCAAACAACATAATACATGGTCGTCCAGATTGAGTTGTAACATAACATAGTCTAAGTTCTAACAATACTTGGTCGTGAAGAATAAGTTCAAACAATACATGGCGTTGGTCGTCCATAATGAGTTCCCAATACTATTATGGAAATGTCATTTATTATGGCAATAGTTTAATTTTAATCGAACCAAAAGATTAAAAAAAACTTTATCTTTAGTATATGCAGATGAAAAATAACTTAGCTTCTGAAAAAAAAAAGAAAAAAAAGAAGAAAAAAGAAGAAGATGGAATATAAGCATTTTCTTTTTATAAAACGGTCAAAATTAAACACCTTTTTAACACACTTTAAGATTCTTAGTCTTATTCTTGAGCCACAAAACAGCTTAGGAATGTCCAAGGTTGGCTTGAATTTGATCAGCATCGAATTCTGTAAGGGGTTGCCTGGCTGAAGGGTAAGGCATAGTTATCTAGATTTATGTTAGATATTTCATTAAATATTGACGATCAGGAACAAAATTAAGAGTAGTAAAAATCGTACACGTTATTATGAGAGGGATCAGGGACTACATATGATGTCAGTGTGTCACCGAATACTGTAAAAAGACACATTTAGTAAAAATTCTGGAGCCATCTAGCAAGAAATAAGGGGTCTGCACACATCATATGTTCAAGTCATGTAATGAGTTCCTTTCTAAAATATAATCCGAGTAGGTCCGGACTGGTTCTGGACAGGAAGTGTTAATTACTGTTCAGAGCTAGCATCCGAGTGGATCAGGACTGGTTACGTCATTGTTTCCGCTGCACCACCTCCTTTGTCGGGACAGAAACAAATTGCCCTGAACAATGTTCTAGTCCACTCGAATTCGGTTCTGACTGTTCTGGACCATTGTTCGTGCAGATCAAAGATGAAATTGACAGAACTGATCTTCTAAGTGCTTAGTGTATCGTAAAAATACTCATTGTTTTGGAAAATATATATAGATGTACTTCCATTTGACATAGGCAAATATTTATGTACATTTAGAATTACCAATTGAAAAAGGCAGACATTTGGCAACTGATCATAATAATAGGCTCTGTTTCTTATGTCCGTATCAAACTGTTGGTGATGACTACTTATTTGAATGTTCGTACTTTAATGACATTAGACGTAAATCTCTTCTTCCAAGTTTTTATATTTATCCCAATATTTTAAACTTAACAGATTAATGAATATTTGTGATAAAAATTTCTTCTGAAACTATCTTTATTTTGTAAAAACATTTTGTTAAAATTTAGACAACACAACAAAATGTACTTCTCATTCTCCGTTCCCTCAATGTAAAATACATATACTGTAGTATTGAATTCAGTAGTTGAAATAAACAATATGATCTCCTATTTTTGTTTATTTAGCAAGTCATAATTGTATTCTTTAATTGTGATATTAGTGATTTTTAACTTTTATTTTCTGTTCATTTGTTTGTTGTAACCAGTTGCATATTATAACCATTGGTTTAATAAAAACTGAAACTGAGACTACCACAAACACAAGACAAGTTAATGTACGGGGAGAATTCGTCACGTCACAGGGCACATTCAAATATGATATGACAAACCTTCAAGGTTAGATAAAAAGGGTAAAATTGTTAACGTGTTTTTTTGATATACTATCTCAAAGTAAATATAGGTTTTAGCCACTATATTGATAGATTAACAATCTACCAATTAAACCTTAACTTGCCATAACACTGAAAATTTTCGTTATTTGTGACTGAATAAATTGAATAAAGTCTTTTTTTTGGTCATGATTTTACACATATCACTCGATTTATTATTACTCGCTGATTTAAACTTCAAAGATAATAATAAAGTGACCGTTTTAGGCAAACAAATGCCGTGTGAAGCCTCACTCTTCTTTCACAAAATTTGAACACTTTGTCCATTCCTTATTAAGTAAATAAAAAGTTTCGTCCACCTACGTTTAATACAGTTGTTTGTTATATCAATCTTTTTTTATTACTTTTATAGATTATGTTGGCGCCCAGCCCAAATAAAGATTTCTACATACTACATTCCTTCACTGATAACAGACTATAAAATGTGATTGAAAAAGTTGAAGGCTACCACGCCACTAAACTATCTAACATTTAACTCATTCAAATATTGAACAGATACCAACACCGAAATAGTGTATTATTAGCGTCCTCCAAGAAAATAGTTCTCACATTTAAGTCCTTCAGTTTTTTTCCATATATATATTATATATAAAGTATATGAGATTATTAGACATAATAATGCGGACAAACTTTATCTCTCTCTTTCCCTAACCCCTCCAAAGAAATTAATTTGTTTGGGCCTGTTTTATGTATTTATATAGTGACCTAAGTACAACATTTCATGTAAAATAATAAAAATGCTTTTTTAAGAACAACTGCGTAAGCATACTCCAAACAATATGCCTTAAACGGTCTTGTTTCAAAATTTGATATATATGAACACTTCAAAACATAATTGATGTAATATCTGTAGTATCTGTGACATAAGTGGGCATTTTTTTTGTAACCATTGACATGTCAATACTAAGAAAAACAAGAAACGAACATGTGAAGTGCACTTCGACGTTTGCACCCGGCAACCCCGATAAGCGGAAACGCAAAAAAAAAGAGAGAGAAAAAAGAAAGAATATAGTTTATGTTAAGTAGGCCACATAAAATAACGCAAGGAAATTGTTACTCACGATATAGAGAATACTGAATGAATGTTGATTTAATACTAAAATTGTTGAACGACTCAAATAAAATCCTACTATGCGAGCCTCTGGCGAGAGTAATGTTTTATTCAAAGAGTTCAATAAATTTAGTATTGAATCATACACTAATATAGTATTCTATTTATCACATCTAAAATAAGAACGGTTTACATTTAAAAAGAATCATTTTCGTTGACGTGCTAATAGAGCAGTTAACGCAAGCTAACATTAGTGTAATATTAATGAAGTCATTGTTATTACACTGTAATGTAAATATCTGTGTAGATTCAATAATATATTCATTGAACTCGTTAAATAAAATTATATAATGCGA